GGGACTAGGTTTCTATCCGCGGAGGTATTCCCAAATGCGCCATCACCAGAGGCGCGTGAAGTATGGGTTCCCAAGTCCCCGGACTGGCACCCGGGGATGTAAAGAAAGGATGATCGCCCCTCTTGCCGGATCACGGCTGGACAGCGGCATCCCGGGTGCGCTACTGGTTTCGAACTGGATCAGCACTTGAGAGTGGAAATCTTGGAAGCCCTCTGGAGGAGTGCGCACACAAAGCCGCGCAGAGCAGCGCAAGAATCGTCAACAAGACCCAGGACTGGGAGCTTCCCCGGACTGCGGAGCCCATCAGTCACCATGCGCATACAAGGGCATCTCCCAGGGACTTTGCCCAGAGTTCAGAATCATTCCACCTTTGTCACCAATGGTGTTGTAAATGGGGGAGTAAGTCCCCCTTGTGGGGTCTTTAAGGATCTCTCCAACAGTACCCCGAAAATTACTCTTATAGAGGCATAATAAATTAAAGGATTTATTATACTACAGGTCCTAGAGGAGGAAGGCTGGAGGCAGACGCAGGGGCCAGATGAGAGGAGCGCCCAGGGAGCCCAGAGAGAGAGAGAGAGAGAGACAGACAGACAGAGACAGTCACCGGGAGGTCAAAAAGGGGAACTTGTGGCAGGAGCCAGCCTTATCACACTGGTGCATTTGGTCACCTGGTGCTCAGAGCCTGTTTGTAAGGATGTTGAAACATCAGGAAAATGAGAAGTTTTTAAAATTTACCATACTCTGTGTGTGTGTGTGTGTGTGTGTGTGTGTGTGTGTGTGTGTGTGTGTGTGTGTAGTTTTGGGGTTGGTTTTTTTTTTAATATTGGAGACTATGTTGTGCTTTGGGTATCTATAATAGTGTCTCTATAAAAAGTCAGTGACAAGGATGAGGCTGAAAACTTCCATCTTCTCTCTCTTTTGTTTGTGGGTGTAGGGTTACTTTATGGAGTCCATAACATTACATCTGTAGTAAATATCTGTGACCGATGCAAAGAAGGTTAAACTTCATCTCCTGCTTAGAGAAATTGAAGTGTTAAATACAAAAGTGATTAAACGTTTGCAAGAGTTGGAGAGCAATGACCAAGAATTGTAGATAGGTTAAGGTCCAAATGTGACTTTGTAACCAGATATAAAAGTGCTTTGTTAGATCCTGAAATTAGCACCTGCTTTAGGATTTGCTGGAATTTCTAAAGCTTTTGATAAGTGATAATTTAGTATTCTAACTGCTTAAATCCCAGCCAAAGAAACTGTGGGGTGGGAGTTTTCTTATTACTGTCCCTAAAAGAAAGATTTACCCAATTTAGTCCCTAATTGATCCTCCACAGTAACTACTTTGATCAAGGAAATGAGATGGGACTTTATTTGTCCACAAATGACTGTAGTCCTTAAAGGGCATGTTCATCTACAATTCACAGGGATTCACAAAACTTTCATGGAGCCAGTTCATCTTTTCATTTCTTAATTGTTTGGTGTCTTTCATCTTACATAAATTATACATCTTTAAATACTGTGATTTGGTTAAAGTATTTTAACTCTTATTTTTTTGCATTGCTTATTAAGTATTTGCCATAACTCTTGTTGTAAGAAATATTTTATATGGTTTTTTATGTGATCAATGACATTTGTTAGAGAAGTGAATAAACACAACACCTGAGACTCCCACTTCATGTTTACTCTTCTAGCTACTCTAAATGTCCTCTTTAACTCTTTTTCCAAGCTGATATTGCTCAATGTGCTGTGAATGAAAATAATCATGTTTTGGGACCAGCCGAGTGGCGCGTTGGTTAAGAGTTGGCTTGGGACACCAGCTCTGAGCAGCAGGGCCCCAGTTTGGATCCCACATGAGGGCCAGTGACACTGACCTCTACAGCTAAGATGGTGCTCAACATGGAGCTGGGCTGCCATGAGTCTCTGGCGACGGCATAGGCTGCAGTGAAGCTGCAGTGGGCTGCCATAAGCTACCGTGAGTGGTCGGCAGCCAGTGTGAGCTGCCAAGAGCTGCTGTGAGTGGCTGTCCAGTGGCCAGCGACTGATCTGCCTCACTCGGGAAGAGTGCAATGATAATACCAACATGGGCCAGTGAAGCAAGGTTCTCCACAACTAGACTGAAGAACAAAAGGACAGTAACTTGTCTGTTTCCCTTCTCTGAATCCCCAGTGCTGTTTTCCTTCCCCAATTCCCCAATAAAATCTTTTTTAAAAATTAAAAAGAATCACGTTTTGGAGACAATATCCTCAGAGTAACCAAGGTTCCAGCATAGTTACATGCTCAACTAGATTCTAGCTCTTCTCAGACTTCATTGAGTTCTCATTTCATTGAGGTCTTAAAATTTTACCCTTTCACTGATGTTTCCCCAGAGCTTCCCAACACTATCTTTAAAGAACTACATAAACATTATGAATAACTTTCTGCAATGTTTCTGCTATTTCCATTTCACAACTGTCTTTCTCAGATAATCTGAATTTCCCATGCCATGCTATCCCTTTAAAAATAGAATAAATTATCATTTCCCAGCAAGGCGATGACATCATGGGGTTCAGATGTCTCCATTGCACATGTGCTGTGACTGCAAACACTGTAGCCTCTGTCCCATACTAAATTAGCATTTAAGTTACCCTCCATTTGAGATGCATGTCCGATTCCTGAAAGGAATTGAATATATATTTGAATACTCATATGTAGAAAGAAATGTCATGTGGATAAACAGTGTTCCTCAGTGGGTAGGACACATCACTGAATAGACAGGCAGGAGAGACGTTTTCAGCTGGAATTACCGGCAGAGCTTCACCCTTGTCCACCTGCTTCCTGGAAGCCCAACATCCCTCTTTTATCTTCCTGTTATGGCTCTATCTAGAGTCTTTTTCTCTTGTTCTTGACCCAACATAGAGAAACTCACAAAACCGCCTCTAGCACTTCAGGTTACATGCATGTGAAGAACAGTAAGATGATGTTTATTAGTTTACAGCTGAGAATGTATATATTTTTGTCTGAATGACTTTATGGACTGACATGTCCATTTGTATCAGTAGCCTCTGGAAGTATCTAAAATATTATTTTTAGTGTCTGGGAGCATGCTGAGCTTCATGGGGTCTGAAATACTGTTACTAAAAACTTCTGGTGATCACTTGCAGACAACACTCCTCATAAATCCGCTGTGCAACCCCTTTCAGACGTAGCAAAGACCTTCCGCCAACCTTATTAGATCCCTTGATGAGCCTCTGGGCCTTTGGGCTGGTCCTGGAGGGCATACTCTGCCCTGGCCGCTATACCGCTGGGAACTACATTCCCCAGAAGACTCTGCGCCGAGAGACAGTAGGGTTGAGCCAATGATAGCCCGGGATAAGGGCTCCTCCATACGTATGCATCGCGTTGGGGCGGGACTTCCGGCGTTTTTCCGGGGACGTCTATTTTGGCTGCTGTAGTCTCTTCTACCTCCTGAGCGCTGGGTCTGATGGAAGTGCTGGACCTGGAAGGCGCGAAGGAGTCGTCGTTCCCACCGCAGATGAGTCTAAGGCTCAGAGACGCTCCCCGGATGATTCCCGCAAGGGCGGAGAGAGGGCCCCCCGCTCCCGGGCCCCCCTCCTCCCCGTCCGCTTCATCCCCGCTCCGCCCGCAGAGTCGGAAGGCGGCAGCCGCGCAGAGGGGCCCGGCTCAGGTGAATGCTGGTCCCCTGAGCCATCACCGCCCTCACCCCATCCGAACCCTAAGGCCCCGGGCGCGGGGCCCCTGCTCTGGTCCTGCAGGCCAGGCCCCAGCATCTAGGACAGTGAAGCGCTCGTGGGTGATATCCGGCGTCGGGGTGTGGGAGAGGGTTACAGGTAGAGGGGGAGAGGCGACTGAGCCAGGAGGGTCTGGGAACCTGGGATCTGTCTTGTGTCCGCATGGAACCGAGAGTATGAGGCAGAGTCACGCCAGGATTGTGAGGCTGAGGGGTTGTGCTTCCATCCTGAGGACCCTGGGAGCTATCGATAACCAAGAAGGGAAGAGGAACACAGTCTGATTTAGAGATTTAAATATTTCCCAAGAGCTACTCAGAGGTGCAACAGATTGGAATGGGGTGATGAGGACAGGGAGGCACAGGGAGGTTGAGCCCTGGCCAAAGTCAGAGAGCTGGTAAAAGGCCGCACTGAGGACTGAAACACAGAGTTTCGTCACTCAGCCCAAAGTCACTTGTCTTCCAGGACAGAGGTACAGGGGAGGTTTTAGCCCGTTGAATGGTCTCCAGCCTCTATAGTTTGCTTCTGCCCACAGGTGTCTGTGCCTAAAGAAGCACTTATAGAACTTATACAGGGAAGTGGAGGGTGTCCCAGGCCCTCATGAATTCCAACCCCACCCATGTGAATTTTGGGATTGTGGTCCCCTAGACTCCTTCTGAGTCCTAGCTGAGGGTTGTGTGGAGGAGTTCCTATTCTGGCCACCAACAGAAGGAAGTATAGAAGGTTAACCCGGGAGCAGGGAAGAGTAAACATGAGACAAATGCAGAGGCACGGGACTGATTGAAAGGAGATGGATTTACTAGAATTTTATGGTGAGTTCGGTGGGATGTGGGGTGTTTCAGTCTTGCTGGTGGATAAGGTCATGGCAAATGTGGTCATTTGTGAGAATCACAATGCCTGGTTGGGTAGCAGTGTGGCTGGGCTTTTAATGAGGGTAAGGTGGAGAGGAAGGTTGTGGCAGTGAGGGGACAAGTGCAACACAAAAGTGGAAGAGAGCCATGGGTATCTGAAATTCATATATGGTTCTGTGTGACTAATATTGAAGCAGAGTAGAGACCGGCAGAGAACCCTTCACAGCAGCATCCAGGGCCACTCCTGGTTGGGATCCATTGGAGGTCTAGGGTAGTATTGGATCCTGTTTGGATTTGCCAAGTTCTCTCTGGATGCCATGTGCCAAGTACATGGGTGAGTCTTGGGAGATGACCATGGTGTGGGGCAGGGAGTTGGTGGTGGCTGTGAGGATGGACCTGTGGGGTCCAAAGATATAAAAGGGGTGCATGAAGAGAGAAGGAGTGTGAACTGATGGCCCCTGGGCCCTGGTACTTGAGACTTAAGGGTGACAGGTGACCTCAAGTTGTACTGTGTTGTGAGGCATGATGTGGAAGACCCCAAGGAAATTGCCTAGTAGGAAGGAATGGGGCCCTGCAATCCCATCCCAGACCTTAAATGATGTCCGTCTACCTACCTTCCTGTAGTTGCTGAGGGCTGGGCACATTAACAGAGCCATGAGGAGAGGGCAGCACCATCCACATCCGGTCCTGGTATCTCCTCTGAGGTGGGGAGCTTGGAAGGAGGATGGGCATGGGGCGATATGGCGGGGAATGGTTTGTGGGTTCTCAGGAGAGAGACTGTGGTTTAATCTGTCCCTGTTATTACAGGACAATATGACTTTTGAGGATGTGGTTGTGTACTTCTCTCTGGAGGAATGGAGGCTTCTTGATGAGGCTCAGAGACGCCTATACCTCGATGTGATGTTGGAGAACTTTGCACTTATATCCTCGCTGGGTAAGACTCACAGCCTCCCCAGTGACCTGGATTAGGCTTTGCCTTTTTGTTTCTCCCTGGGTGCTGCTCTGTCCTTCTTATATCTAGACCATAGACACTGTCTTCTTTCCTAGTTCCCTGAGTAGGTGCTATCCTTGCTAGGGCTGAGTTGTTTGCACTGTCCTCATCTCTCCCTTGCAGACCCATTGCTGCTGCCCCAAAGCCTAGTAGGAGAGGATTTTGAGTAGATAGTTTTTCAATCAACCAAATGGATCCCGCCTTGCTTGTTCCCACCCTGGCTGGGTGACTTTCCAGATATATGGTACCAGGTTTTGTGCCCTGCGAACTGACAGTTCTTTTTTTTTAAGATTTTTTTTTTATTTTTATTGGGGAATTGGGGGGATGGGAACAGTGCTGGGGAATTGGGGGAAGGGGAACAGACAAGTTGCTGTCGTTTTGTTCTTCAGTCTAGTTGTGGAGGATGTTGCTTCACTGGCCCAAGTTGGCACCATCATTGCTCTCTTCTCTGGCAAGGCAGATCAGTCGCCGGCTTCTGGACGGCCGCTCACTGCGGCTGCTGGCCGCTCACGCTGGCTGCTGGCTACATACGGTAGCCCATGGCAACTCACTGCCACAGGGAGTGCAGCCTACGCCGTCGCCGGCGACTCATGGCAGCCCAGCTCCAGGTTGAGCTGTTGTTCAGCATCTTAGCTGTAGAGGGCAGTGTCACTGGCCCTCATATGTGGGATCCGAACCGGGGCCCTCTGGCATCCCAAGCGAATTCTTAACCATCGCGCCACTCGGCCGGCCCCTGACAGTTCTTTATGTCTTCCTGTGTCTGAAATTGCCATCACTGATGTGGGCACTATTTACATGCACCGTTAGCTGTTCTTGTGAGACCCTCGTCTGTCACATCCTGCGTGGCAAGGGCAAATGGGACACGAGAGGGGCGACGCAGATTGAATAAAGAGACAGAGACAGAAGTAAGATTTAAGAGCGAGACCAAGGGACTCAGCCTAAGAAAGACTGAGCCCTGAATCGGGTCAACGCATGGCTTTTATTGAGAATCTTCAAAGAAGCAAACTGCAGAACTGTGAATCATTAACCGTGTATATGTGGGTGCCTTAAGGCTTGTTCCCATTACCTGACCCCTTTGTACTCCAACAAATGCTATGCCTTCATACATCACTGCACAGCCCCAGGACACTCTGTTACATGTCCTCCCAGGGGAGACAACCGATATCATTCCATCCGGCCTCAGTTTTCCGAGACACTCTCTCGACTACAGGGTATGAGGCTAATGCAGAGGGGGTGGTCGTGGGATCAGCTGTAAGGCAACATCTCCCCCTTTCTGTTGTTGTAGAGAGAGAAACATGGACTTTGCAGTTTCTTCATCTATTGCTCGCCGGAGGGTTTTTTGGCCACACCGGAGGACTAAGCAAAACAGAAACAAAATTATAATTAGAAACACAAAGGTACCAGCAAAACCTCCACTGAGGTTTTTTATCCACGTAAGTGGATTTAAAGAAGACAGACCTTCCGCTGCTGCGGACAAGGCATCCTCTCCTGGAAGGAGTTGAAGATTAGCAGATGACATCTGGTCAATTTCTTGCTGCAGTTGTTGTATATCTACAGAAAGATTGGGCATATGACCCAAAAGATGAGGTCGTACCTCCGACCAAGGGGTACGTGTCTGGTTGTAAGAAAAAGGAGTTATACAATGAGTGGAAGTATTCCAATCACATTTCAAAGTAACAATAGTCCGGAGACTTTCTAATTGATTTCCTAAATAAACTACTGTACTTTCTAAATCAGCTAGACGAACACTAATTTTTTGATCAGTTTTCAATTGCTGATTCCAAGTCTTACTAGCATTTTCATGCCATTATTGTACAAATTGAGTAGTTTGAATTGTCTGATGGAGAGCTAATCCAGAGACAGCAGCAGTAGTTGTAATAGCTATAATTTCTAAGATTGCTGCTATTAAAAGGCCAATAAATATTTTAGTTCGATGTAAAATCTTAAGAATTTGGAGAACAATATGAATTGTTGGAGATCCCTCCCAAATCCTAGAGGTTTGAACAGGGATCCACAATCCTTTTTTATGTTTCAAAATCATTATCTGATCCTGAGGGTAATTAAAAGTAGAGGAATTAAGGCAAGTAAACAATCTGCATAACGGGCATTCAACCAATTTCAAATTCTAATTAATAGTAAATTTTCCTACCAAAAATACAAATGAATTTTTAAGACAAACTTGTAAATATATTTGTCCAGTTTTTTCATACCGAAAGGTATAACTGTTATCATTATGGGTAAGATTTCCTTTCCATAACTTATTCGGTCCAATGCTTATGGCAACCTTCCATAAAGTTCTTTGATACGGACCTCTAATAGGTCTAATCATTCTTAGTTGAGGTGGAGCCAGAAATCTTTCCTTCCATAAAATATTAAAAGGAGTCTTAACAATTTTAGGTAAATTATTTCCAATTATTTGATCTTTTAATTGTTGTGGTTCTGAACATTCTTTAATATTACAGACTTGAAAAGCAGGACCAAAGGGTCCCCAATCAATAATTGTTTCCAAAGTATTATTTATAATTATTTTATCTATTGTTCCACGACATTCATCCCAATGAATTTTGGATTGATTCTTGTTCCAGGAATTAATAAGAGGGCATGTAGGAATTAGAAGGTGGAAAACTATGGGTACTTGATTGTTGGGTGACAAATCCTTTGCCAGAAATCATAAATCTTTAAAGGTATTATTTTCTTTTCCACTTGGAGTAGTCCAAGTTTGCTCTGTGAGAGAGAGACATGGTGTAACAGAGCCAATACATATATGAGTTCAAAAATTTTAAAGTAAACATGGCTTTTGCTAATTGCACCTGAGGTGGTTCCTTTGCGTCTCCCCCTTTCTGTTTATTTAATTGTTTCTTCAAGGTAGAATTAGCATGTTCTACAATAGCTTGTCCTTGTGGGTTGTAAGGAATGCCAGTATTATGAGTGATTTGCCAAGACTCATTATGAGTGTTCAGATGACTAATCTGTTGTTTCTTAAAGGGAACTACGATCTGATTAGGCTCTTGTCCACAAAGGTGCAGGACATGGGTATGAGCTTTAGATATTAATTCTGAAATTAATTCTACATAAGTCGGGAGTGTTTTAACAAAATTATTAGGTAGAAAAAGCCACTCAACCAGTTTCTCTTGCTGAATTATAACTGCTGTTGGGGAATGCGGTGTAGAAAAAAACAGAACCTGTAAAGGTTGATAAGGATCAATGCGCTGAGTCTGAGCTTCTTGTATTTTTTGTTCTACAAGTTCTAATTCTTTTATAGCCTGTGGAGTCAATTTACAAGGGCTATTTAGCTGAGATGGTCCTCGTAAAAGGGTAAACAAATTACTGAGAGCATAAGTTGGAATTCCTAAGGTTGGGCGTAGCCAATTAATATCTCCTAACAATTTCTGTAAGTCATTTAAGGTTGAAACCTGATCTTTTCTAATTTGAACCTTTTGCGGTCTAATAGTCTGTCGATCAACAATTGTTCCTAAGTATTTAACTGGAGTGGTTGTTTGAATTTTATCAGGGGCTATACATAGCCCTGCTTTTTCCAGGTGAGCTTTAAGTGATTCAAAGCAAGCTGCTAACTGCTTCATAGAGAATGCAGCACAGAGAATATCATCCATATAATGAATGATATAACAATCAGGAAATTTAACTCTTACAGGTGTGAGGGCTCGAGCCACATAAAATTGACAAATGGTTGGGCTGTTAAGCATTCCCTGTTTGTATGTCCAGGCTTTCCACAATTAAAGCAAGTGCCAGGAAACTTATTTTTCCCTCTTGTCATTCCTGTAATTGCCTGAGCTAACATAGTAGCTCTGTATTGTTCAGTCCCTACTCCTTGACATAAACAGAGATACCCCATTGCATCTGTCTTTCCTTTTTGAACTCCTATTGCCTTTTTACAATCCTTATTAGCATTATCATAGGCTATAATTTGAAGTATAATTTCAGCCGCTTGTGCATTGGACACCTGTTTTTTAATGGTATCCTGCAAGCGAGCAATAAATTCTGAATAAGGCTCTTGAGGTCCTTGAAATATATTTTGAAAAGATGTTGGAGCTTTTCCTTCCACTTCTATTTTTTCCCAGGCTGATAAACAAAGTCTTTTGAGCTGCTCCTGTGCTTGACGGTTCATCCGAATTTGTTGCTCAGTATTTAACCAATCTCCATCACCTACTAATTGATCCTTAGTAATATTTATTTGACCAGCCTGATTCTGCCTACTTTGAATTTCTGCTCCATCAACCCACCAGGCTTTAAATTGTAAGAATTGAGCAGGAGAAAGGCAGGCTTTAGCCAAGGCATTCCAATCTATTGGAACCATTCTATTTCCATTAGCTATTCCTCTAATTAATCCTATAGTATACAGGGAAGTCGGGCCAAATTGGGTAACCGCCTGCTTAAGTTCTTTGAGCAATTTAAAAGGAAAGGCTGGTATGCTACCCGCTGCACTCCATTAGGATATTCATCATTAGGTGGTATGTTATCCCTGACCACAACGGGAAAATTTAAAGCAGCCAAATCCCCTTCCAGCCTTGCTTGTTGAATTCCTTGTTCTATAGTTGACATGGCCAAATCTGGGCCTCGGGCATAGGGTGGAGGCACCGAGACCACAGACAGAGTTGGTTGTTTTAGTTTTGATGGATTTTTAGATAACCCCCAATCCTTCATTCTAGTTATTGGAGGAGGAGGCAAACGATCAGGTGTTAACAGATCGTCTTTTAAAGAAGGATATAATGCTTTTGGAACTACTGTAGGTGCTTCTACAAACTCTTCCCTTTCCTCATCCTCTGAAGAATCAATATGGCTCTTACACTTGGGATCCTTGCCTTCCTCCTCGTCTTCTGTGTCAGTATGTAAAGGCTCTAAGACTGACCTGACCTGTCTCCAGGTTTCCCAAATAGATGTGGGGATCGCCTCTCCCTTAAGTTGTTTCTCTGAAATGTCTTTCCCTACTTCTTCCCACTGATCTAAATCTATGGTACCCATGTCCAGGAACCAAGTACAATGGGTCTCAATAATTTTTAAAAGTTCTTCTAATTTTTTCTCTGATACTTTCATCCCTCCCTTTTTTGATAATTGTTTAAGGAGGCAAATATAAGGTCTATATCGGCTCTCTGAATTTCCCATGTTAGTTTATATAAGAGAAGAAAAGAAGGGACTTTCACTCAATTAATCACTCAGATGCTCGCCTGGCCGTGTCCCTCGCGGGACTAAGTCTGTCTTGGCTGATGGTGCTTCGGTATAACGCCCCCGAACTGGTGGACAAATGCCCAAAGACAAGTGCCCAGTCACCGTTATGCCGTACGACAGATTACGGAACCGCAGGTGGGAGCCCACGCAAGTTTCGCGATCAAAAGATCTTGAAACTATAATCAATCACTCACACATACACACTCTCACACACAAAGTTTGTTAGTTAGGTTATTCTCCGGATACCCCGGTATAATTCCCCAAAACTTTTTCCCTACTTCTCACTAAGTAGAGTGCCGGCCCGTCCTGGGGTCTGCGCCGTGAAATTCACCTAGACTCGGAGTCTTCCTTCCCTTCCTCGAGCCCTGCAGTGGGCGCCAGTTGTCACGTCCTGCGTGGCAAGGGCAAATGGGACACGAGAGGGGCAATGCAGATTGAATAAAGAGACAGAGACAGAAGTAAGATTTAAGAGCGAGACCAAGGGACTCAGCCTAAGAAAGACTGAGCCCTGAATCGGGTCAACGCATGGCTTTTATTGAGAATCTTCAAAGAAGCAAACTGCAGAACTGTGGATCATTAACCGTGTATATGTGGGTGCCTTAAGGCTTGTTCCCATTATCTGACCCCTTTGTACTCCAACAAATGCTATGCCTTCATACATCACTGCACAGCCCCAGGACACTCTGTTACATGTCCTCCCAGGGGAGACAACTGATATCATTCCATCAGGTCTCAGTTTTCCGAGACGCCCCCCGAGAGAGCTTTACAGATATCATTCCATCCGGCCTCAGTTTTCCGAGACACTCTCTCGACTACAGGGTATGAGGCTAATGCAGAGGGGGTGGTCGTGGGATCAGCTGTAATGCAACACTCGTCCGAGGTTCTTTTTGTAACATTTAGTTTTCTTTTGTATGGTCTCATTTGATAAGTTGCTCTGGGCTGGTAGTGGCCACTTACTTGTCCTGTCTTTCCCTTAGGACTTGCATTATACAAGTCCCATGCAGTTGCTCAACTTGGGTCAGAGGGGAGAGTCCTAGGTGCTTCACAGAATGGATATCACTTCTTCCATGGCAAGATGGACTAGAGGGGGCCTGGCCCTGCTGAGTGGCAGCTGAGGGAAGACATAACCTTAGGCTGTGTTCACATAATACAAGAAACCTATTAAAACTAGTGTTTTGGTTCTATTGCCGGTGGCCATATCTCATTTCTACTTTTTCTTCCCATCCTTCATCCTTGGCCAGCTTGTCATTTCTAGTAACTTTCCGGCTGCTCCCAACTTTCCTGCCTCCACTTGTTACCCATTCCTCTCCACTGCTGCCTATGCAATGTTCTCCAGCGTGGGGTCACATTTATCACTAGTGGTGTGCATATATCCTTAATAGTCCTTGAACACCAGCTACTCATTTACAATCAGATTTTTCTGTTCCTGAACAAAAACTTCTGAACAACACTCATGTGTCAGCAGCAGCTAAGGCTCTGCTGAAGGTCATTCTTGGAGGAGTGAGTTGGAAACTCTGCACCCTATCTTCCCTGTGCTGCATCCCATCCTTACGTCTTTCATCTCATGAGGGCTCCCTCCTGTGACCTTTTAGAATTCCAGTACTGCAAGGCAGCCTCTTCCTCATCCTGACCCCAACTCTCTCATCCTGAAAACAACTGCATGTATTCATTCTTTGGTATGTCAGGCACATATTTATGATGTGACTGCCACCTGTCCCTAAAGACAACATGTACTTCACTATGATTTCTCCATTTTCAGGTTTGTGTGGCATAGAGAATAAGAAGGCACCTTCTGGAAAGAGTGTTTCTCTGGAAAGAATGCCACAGATCAGGACTCCAAAGCCAGATGCGTCAATCCAAAAGGTTCATCACTGTGGAGTGTGTATTCCCATCATGGAAGGTATTTTGTATCTGCCTGAGTATCAAGGAGCACATACTGGGCAGAAATTGAACACATGTGTGGCATGTGGGAAACAATTTAGTTTCAGTGCAAATCTTTACCAACACCAGAAGGAGCACAGTGGAAGGAAACCCTATGGCAAAGATGTGGACAGGGCCTCCTTTGTGGAGAGCTACAGAAGCCATTCATCAGGGAAGCCTTTCACCTGTGGGGAAGTTGAAAGGGACTCCTTTGCCAGTGTGGGTCTTCTCCAGCACCAGGCCACTCCCAAAAAGGTGCACAGTAGTCCTGAGTGTGACAAGGCTTTTCACAGGGCAAAAAATCCTTACATGTGTTGTGAATGTGGGAAAACTTTCTGCCACAAACGTACACTTGTTCAGCACCAAAGAATCCACAGTGAAGGATTGTATGAGTGCAGTGAATGTGGGAAAACCTTCAGCTACAAGCACACATTTGTTCAGCACAAGACAATTCACACTGGAGAAAGACCTTTTCATTGCAGTGAATGTGGGAAGGCCTTCAGGGTCAAATATAAACTTGTTCAGCATCAACGTATTCACACTGGAGAAAGGCCTTATGAGTGCAGTGAGTGTGGGAAAGCTTTTAGATGCAAATCCAAACTTGCTCAGCATGAGAGAATCCACACCGGGGCAAGGCCTTATGAGTGTGCTGAATGTGGGAAATTCTTTAAACAAAGCTCCAGCCTCATTCGACACCAGAGAATTCACAGTGGAGCAAGGCCTTATGAGTGTGGGGAATGTGGAAAATCTTTTCGCCAAAGCTCCATTCTCATTCAGCACCAAAGAGTTCACACAGGCGAAAGGCCTTATGAGTGTAGTGAGTGTGGGAAGTCCTTTAAACAAAACTCCGGCCTCATTCAACACCGGAGAGTTCACACAGGAGCAAGGCCTTATGAGTGCAGCAAATGTGGGAAACCCTTTAGCCAAAGCTCCAGCCTCATTCATCACCAGAGAGTTCACACTGGAAGGAGAAAGGACTTATGAGTGCAGTGAATGTGGAAAATTCTGTAGCCAAAACTACAGCCTCATTCAACACCATAAACTCCACACTAGAGAAAGGCTTTAAGAGCGCAGCAAACATGAGAAAGGCTTCAGTTAACAGTCTGCTCTGAATCAACAAAACTTTCACAATCCAGGTAAGTTTTATGAAGTCAGCAAATATGGAAAAGCCTTCAGCCAAAGATCTAAGCTCATTCATTATAAGAATTCCAGATAAGGTAAAGAATGGCTTTAAACCTTCAGGGAATGTGCTGTCTCTGTTCATTGTGACAGGACTAGACAGCTTCTGTGAGGGGCCATCTGCCATGAGTTCCAGATATGTGAGAAGTTTGCAGGAGCTGCATTTCATATACCAGTCTGCTCATGACCCTTGCCAAAATTATGCCAGTTTCTGTAGCAGAAGTCACCTCTTCTCTACCACCTGGCATGTCTTCATAACATGTATCAGTTACCACAACATACTTAGAGAAGACAGATGTTTGTGCTCTCTCCCATTCTCTAAAAGAAATCAGCGTGAGCTTCTGGCGGTTCCCATTTCTATCTCTGAAGAGTTATGGCATTGACCTGCCCCACTTTTGGCCCAAAGGGGCCCAGTCTGAAAATTGTTGGTAGCTTGTAAAGTTTTATCTTGTTGATTGGCATTATTGGTCTTATGTGATATTTTGGATGGACTTTCTAGCCTCTAAGAACAACCTGGAAACTGCCTGCTTCACATTGTCCTGGACTGTGCAGTAATCTTAATTGTTTAAGTAGCCTTTAATCTTAAGAGAAATATTCACTGTATGGGTAGGTTGAAAATAGAATTGGGCTCTGCCAGTGTGAAGGGGTGGACAGCTTTGTGAAGACCTCAGAGGGGACAGTATGATGTTAGAGAGTACCTCTTACTGCAGTTTTTGCCTAATTTTCATTCCTGTTGAACTAAGATAAAAAACACTTGGTGTTTGTCCCCAGTTCCTGGCACAGAGCTTCTAAAATCCTTGGAATTTCCTGAGTGATGAGAGCATCTTTGTATGATAGTGAAATGACTCAAGCTGAAGGCCAATGAAGAGCCTCAGGAAAGGGGCTGGTGGCCAGATTAGAGGGTTAGAACTTTAAGCCCCACCCCTGCCATCTGGGTATGGGTAGGAGCTGGAGATTGAATTCAACCATCAGTGGGCAATGATATAGTGAACCATGCCTTTTTAATGATACCTTGATTTTAAAAACCCCAAAAACTGTAGGGTTTGGAGAGCAGCTGGTTAGTAAACGCATCCAATCAGAAGGGGAGTATACCCCAACTCCACTGGGTTAGAGGCTCCTATGCTTGGGCTTCTTCCAGAGCTCACCCTATGTGCCTCTTCATCTGGCTGTTGACTTGTGTTCTTTATAATAAACTAATAGTAAGTATAGATTTTTCTGAGTTCTGTGAATCATGCTGGCCAATCTGAGGGGGGCTTGTGGGAACTCCAAATTTGTAGTTGGCCTGGCAGAAGTGTGGGTATCCGAGGGACCCCATTTGTGGCTGGCATCTTAAGTGGAGGCAGTCTTGTGGGACTGAGTCCTTAACTTGAGGCGTCTGTGATAACTCCAAATAGTGTCAGAATTGAATTGTAGAACACCAGTTGGTATTGGAGAATTGGTGTTGAAATGACACACTTGGTGTCAGAAAAAGTCACACACTGAAGGCCTCTCAGGAAAGACTACAGGGATTTGTGGCCTGGATGCCAGGATTTTTTGTAGGCCCAAAGATCCTGAGGAAGGTACAGTTGTGACAACCCACGATGCTTTTGGAAATGTAATATCCAGGACACAGTAATTTCTCTCAGTTATAAAGAGAGAAATCAGCTGCACTTGAATTATGCAACATGAGATTATTAAAGCCTGACTAAAGTGAAGAGAATACAAAGTGCTTAACCTTTCTCTGGCTCTGAAATTATTGTGAGATAACCTGAATATTACAACCAGTTTAAAAATCCTCATGTCCACAATCACCATCAAACTTGGAGTTAAATTTTAAGATCATCTCTGCATGGAAATTTTATTGAGACCACTGATGGTGACTTCCTCATTGCACAACGTCCACCTATACTTTCATCAGCCCAGAGAACCTTTGCTGCAGTCTTTGTGTTCCATTTGCTCAGTCACCATCTCTTACAAAGAGCCTCACTAGCTTCCTTTTATTTTAAAAAGAACACATGTTGCAAAGCTGAGCTACAGTTATAACTTTAAAAAAAAAAATTTAAGGCTGAGGGACAACCGAGATGGCGCAGTAGATAAATGCTGTGTTTACCTTCTCTCATAACCACATCAAAATTACAACTAATCTACAAAACCACCATTATGAGAATCACTTAAACTGAAGCTTTTCAACTAAGGACTTGCAGAAGAAGCTACCTTCAGACTGGTAGGAAGATCAGAGACACAGCATGGGCTAGTCCCACACCTGCGTGTGACCATTAAAATTGAGAGAGCTATTTTGGCTGTGGGGGGTCCCCACACTTCCTAAAGGAGCGAGAGATACCAGCCCAGGGTTCCAATGCCATGGAGAGAAGTCCCCATAATTTTTGGTTGTGAAAACCAGCAGAGATTGTGACTGAGTCAGTGCAGCTGTACTCACAGGCACACCTCTTAAAGGGACTGCACACGGACTTACCCACCAGTGGAATCATTTGCTATGAGCTCCAGTGCTGGGGCAACAGCTGGAAAGGCGGCAGGGACAAATGGTGGGGAATTGAGTTGTTTGGCTTGGGACGGGGGCTGGAGAGGTGGCTTTCTCCTGGATGGAGGAGCTGGCAGAAGCCATTGTTTGTTTGCTGAGCCCTCCCCCTTCCCAGCATTTGAACACAGGCAGCCACCGTTTTTGAGTCTTCACCATTTGTTCTCTCCGCCCTGGTGATTTGAGACGTGGCCCTGCCCAACTTTTGGGCACACCCAGGCTGCTCTGAGTAGCTTTTTTTGTGCAGACTGCTTGCCTTGGCTCAAGCCACACTTTCCTAGCGTCTCTCAAAGGTTCACGGAACCCAGACAAGCAGCATCTGGCTTGAGCATGCCCTGCACCCCTGGTTGAGCAGCTCTAAGCCAGCACTAGTGGCAGTTGGCCTTGGTTCACAGCTTGGCCTTTCAAGGTGCTTTCAAGCATAGCATGGACAGTAGACATCTGTGGATTTCTTTCTGGCTCCCACTAGGTGTCCCCAGGTGGGGTACAGGCTGTGGCTAAAGTAGACCTACAGCACGTCCCCTCCAAGGTGGTTCTGGGGCTGGCATTTCCAGTGGCCAGCTTTAAAACGAGCTGGAGTATCACCCAGCTGTCTCCAAGTATGACATGCCCAAGGGGCAGATTGGGTAGACACCAGAGTCCTGCTGAGGCAGATCCTGCTCTGTAGGATCAGCCTTTGCACAACAACTCTTCCACTATAGTCAAGGCCAATTCTCACAACCAGTGAACCCAAGGGTCAGTCTCTCACATTGATGTGTAATTATCAACCAAGGCTCAACTACAAGAAGAGGGCACACACAACCCACACAAGGGACGCACCTGGAGCGTGTGGCTCAGGTGACCAGAAAGACTATGCCACTGAACCCCACAGCACACCTACTACATAAGGCCACTTGACTAAGACTGGAAGACATAGCAGCCCTACCTAATACATAGAAACTAACACAGGGAGGGCGCCAAAATGGGGAGACAAAAAACGTCCCAAATAAAAGAACAGAACAAAGCTCCTGAAAAAGGACTAAGCAAAATGGAGATAAGCAATCTATCAAATGCAGAATTCCAAATACTGGTTATAAGAATGCTCAATGATCTCATAAAAATGGAGATGGAAACCATAAAAAAGAACCAGTCAGAAAAAATGATATAATAATGGAAATGAAGAATATATTACAGGAATCAACAGTAGGTTACATGAAGCAGAGGATCCAACCAGCAATGTAGAAGATAAAGTAGCAGAAAACACCCAACCAAAACAGCAAAAAGATAAAAGAATTTTAAAAATTGAGGTGAGTTTAATATCAAATGTACCAACATTTGCATTATAGGGATACCAGAAGGAGAAGAGAGAGATCAAGGAATTGAAAACCTATTTGAGGAAATAATGACAGAAAACTTCCCTAACCTGGTGAAGGAAATGGACATATAAGCCCAGGAAGCACAGAGAGTCCCAAACAAGATAAACCTAAAGAGGCCAAAACTGAAACATCATAACTAAAATCCCAAAGGTTAAATACAAAGAATTTTAAAAGCAGCAAGAGAAAAGCAGTTAGTTACCTACAAGGGAGCCCCCATAAGACTGGCAGCTGATTTCTCATGCTCTTAACCAACGGAGCCACTCGGCCAGCCTTGGCAGCTGATTTCTCACCAGAAACTTTGCAGGCAAGAAGGGAGTGGCAGGAAATATTCCAAGTGATGAAAAGCGTTGTCATACAACCAAGATTGCTCTACCCAACAAGATTGTCATTTAGAATTGAAGGACAGATAAAGAGCTTCCCAGACAAGAAAAAGCTGAAGAAATTCATCACCACCAAACCAGTATTACAAGGACTCTTAAGGGGACTTCTTTAAGATGGGAGGTAGGTAAGGGTGGATGGAAGGGGAAAAGATTAAAAAGAACAAATTGGTTGTTTTACAGTTGTCATGGGGATGTAGGGTATAGCATAAGGAATATAGTGGACAATATTGTAATAACTAAGTATGGTTCCAGATAGGTACTAGATTTATCAGGGTGATAGATGGGAATGGGGTTGGGATTGATGAAAAAGGTGAAGGCATTAAGAAATATAAATTAATAGTTAATACAGTATGGGGAATATAATCAACAATGTTGTAAAGATCATGTAAGGTGCCAGATGGGCACTGCATTTACCAGGGGGAGCACATCATAGACTGTAGATGCCTGACCAATGCACTATACACCTGAAGAGCTGAAGTAGAACAATACTGAATGTCAACTATAACTAAATATATAGGTGTACATAGTCACAACATATGGAAGATAGTTGATGGTATTGTAACAGCTATATAAGATGTGAGAGGGGTAGTAGCTTGGGGGGGGGTGGGTTATCACTTTATGAGGTGTTTAAATGTCTATTATGTTGCTTTGTACACCTGAAACTAATAAAAAATAAATGAAAATAAAAATTTTTAAGACTTTTTTTTTACCCCAAATCTGCAATCTTTGATCTGACATCCAGAATGCTAAGGATTTCTTGAAATCTTATTTTTGCATTGTACACTAACCCAACTTCGATTCTTAGATGGACTTATGACATCTCCATGGCTGTGGTGTAATATTATACATAATTCCTATTTATGATTCTAATGGGAACTTGACTTACATCACAACCACTAGATTCCAACAACTAGGGAAGTATACTTGCACCCTGTTGCCTTACAGCTACGTCCTTGACCCCCCCACACACACGCACACACACTAACCCCTGACCTAATGAGGTTATGAGGAAGTGTCTCAGACTGCTGAGACCCGGTAGAATGATATCAGTAAAGCTTCCTCAAGGGGATGTTTTGGAATGCCAAGACCCGATGGAATGATATCGGTCATCTCCCTTATCTTTATGGTCGCGGTACAGCAGTGCCATCTTGGGGGTTGTGTGTGAGGGTGTGAAGGCACAGTACGTGTTGGAATACAATGGAGTAGGTTAATGGAAAACAGCCATAAGGCACGTAGCACATGGGCTTTAGAATAAACCAGTTTCACTTCTTTGAAAAGTTTCTCAATGAAAGCTATGCTTTGGTCCGATTCAGGGCTCAGTCCTAGAGAGGCTGCAGCCCCTTGGCCCCATTTTAACTCTATACTTAACTCTTGTGTTTCTTTAACCCTGTGCCGCACCTCTCATATTCCACCGCCCTTGCTGCATGGGACGTGGCAGCACCCTACCCCAATAACCCTGGACCCAGTTGCACATGTCAGGCATTTACAGCATGGAACATAAGCTGGCTGCAGATAGAGGGAAGGCTGGATCCACCATTGGGTCACAAACATGTTCTCTGGAGAGCCAGGTAACTCCCTGGGCTCAGTAATCACTGCTCTAATGTTTCACTGTTCACATTGGCTAAAAAGACTCCATATTTTGCTTACTTACTAACTGCTACCACCTTCAAACCTCACATCACTTATTTGGGGGGAATATCCAGATCATCTAGGAGCTCTCCTCTAGCTGGGATTGTCCTAATTATAAACATTGGGTTGTCAGAAAAGTCATGACATATTTTGTCTGTGTTTTTCAAAGGTCGTTTATTTATATAAAACACAAAGATCAATCGATATATTTTCCATTTTGTTTGATTACCTTTTGCCATTTTCAGTGAGCTTCATAATTCCTTCTTCATAGAAAGACCTGTCCTTATTTGCAAAAAACTGAACGAGGTGCTGATTTACAGCCTCATTTGAATTGAACGTTATACCACACAAGGAGTATTGGAGAGAGAGAAACAAGTGGAAGTCTGATGGCACAAGGTCAGGCAAGTATGGTGGGTGTGGCAACACATCCCATCCAAGCTCCAGTAATTTCTGACAGGTGATCAAGCTTGTGTATGGTCTCGTGTTGTCATGATGGAATACAACTTCTTTACAATTAACAAGCTCTGGACATTTCTGGATGATGGATTCATTCAAACTGTCCAATTGCTGACAGTACGCATTCGAATTGATTGTTTGGTTTGCCGAGAGCCGGCTCGACAGCCATGGCCCTTGGATGATCAGGCCAGGAACCCTCTAGACAGTCCCTGAGCAGGATTGATCAGTGCAAGGAATTGAGAAAAGAAAGAAAGGCATAGACACCAAAGTTGGTATTAGGAGGGTCACTGACTGCTGACAATTTTTATTAAAAGGCATAGTGCTAATACAGGAAGCAAGTTCCTCTTTTACCAGGAATAAATCTTATCTAACCATAGGGGTTTGGTAGAGGGTTTCTGGGGAATGAGGAACCAATGTTTCTGATTTAGGGGTTTGGAGGTGAGATAATGTCTTGGCAACAAGTTACATGATCACATAGCATAGACTAATAATATATTTTAAGCAAAGTGAAACAAGGCAAATAGCAACTGTCAGCAAGTCCATGATGGAAAAGTCCCAAAAGTTCATAAGTCCATGGTAGAACGTCTCAAAGTTCATTATCCATAGACAGTGACATCTGAGGGTCTGGTGGTTGTGGTTTAGGAACTTCTGCTTTTCCAAGGCACAGGAAGTGAGCTGGGCACTGTTGGGTTACTGATTTTAGCAGTTCTCTTTTTTTGCTGTTCAGCTAACAAGCAGTTTTGCAGTCTTTTCTTCAGCACACAGAACTTGAGGGTCTCTAGCCACCCGTCATTATCCACCTGC